TGGATTAAGCTTTCGCCGTAGTAAACGATTGGTGAGTTCAGACCATATGGTGAAGGTGTACGGGCAAGGAAAAAGAGGTGGTCTCTTGACTCGTCTCTTTCGCCACAGAACCCGCACGGTCTTAATACTCCCCAAGCTCGCATGCGTACTCCTGTAGAGAGCCTGTCCTTTATTGCGAGCCAGACGATGAAGGAGAAGCGTGGAACTCTCTGAGGGAACCAAACTGTTTGGTGCCACAGTACCTTATTTCTTGATTGACGTATCTGATTCCAAGTTTGACGCGTTGAGAAGTTTGGCCTGTATTCAGTGGCATCATGTCTACAAAGCGGGATGTCTAGTCCCTTGTCCGGGTGTGGGATTGGTGTTAACTGCAGCGTGGAGACTATGTTCCGTAAGACTTGGTTGCGACATCTGCGAACAGTCCAATGAGTGGTAGTTGCCGCTTCTGCAACCGAGCTACACTTAAGCACACCAAGGGAAACCGGCCCTGCAGCTCCTGTGATGGAAATTAAACGGCCTGATTCTAACCATTTATCCCACCAAAAGCTTGTACTTCTACCATCTCGAACCTCCCATTTGAAGAAATCATCCGCCACAGTTCTGAGCTTTAAAAGCTTTCGCAAAATCCAAGAGCCCTTTGTACTGTTTTTATCTTCCCAAAAATGATGTTGCTTCAGGAGATACTCTCTTGTGCATGCGACCCACAGTGAACCAGAAATGGTTAATAATCTCCATATCAGACTTAGAGAAAAAACCTGTGACACGTCTAGAAGTCGGCGGATGCCTAAACCCCCTTCCTCCACCAGTAAACAAACTTCTTCCCAAGAAACCTTTGCTTTGCTATGAATGTTTGGGGAACCAGACCATAGAAAAGCACAACACAAGCTCTCTATTTTATCAAGACATCTTTGTGGGAGCCGGAAAACCGAGAGCCAGAAATTGGAGATACTCATAATCACTGATTTTATCAATTGAACTCGACCCGCATAAGAGAGAGACTTACTTGTCCAGGACAGTAAACGACCTCTTATTTTTTCAATGAAAGGCGCATAATCAAGACGCGTCATGGATTTAGTTGTCAAGGGCAGGCCAAGATACCGAATGGGAAGGGAGCTGCTACCAATGCCATGCTCAGACGCGGCCATTACGGCTAAGTGCTTATCTTTACCCGCAGTGAATATGGAGGATTTTGAAGCGTTTATACTCAACCCTGACATGTTGAGTACGGCTAAGTGCTTATGTTGTTCTATTGTTGAATACGACAGATACAAGAAAAACTCCAGAACATCGAATAAATTAAGATCCATGACCATAACACTAATGATATAAATTTTATATAATAAAAAAATATTAGTAAACTCTACCATGTATATACATGAAATAGAGATTAATGCACAATGATCATCAATAATCGATCAAACCAAAAAATAAAAATACAAACGCACTGAAATTAAAACAAACACTAATAATACCTTATCATACTTTCTTTTTTACTTCAGCAACTCGTTTGTCTAAACTCGTTTTTATCGAAACTTCACGATCGGTATACCTAAAACAGAAATCAAAAGATACAAAATCAGTAAAAATAAATAAATAATTCGTAGAACAACCAACAAATTCATATAACAAAAAGCATAATCGCATGATAAGAAATTCGATAAGCAATATAAAAAACCCTAATAGCAAAACTATTTATTGAACATAAAAAGCTGGTTCGTAACTGTGGGGCAGAAACTCTGTATTTATAGCCTCAAACTTAGGGCAAACCTCCGATATTATCTTAAGAAATTTAACTTTTTAAATTAGAAACTAAATAAGAAAACTAACAAAAACGAATATTAACTACTAAGATATAGAAATTATCCAAAAAATAACAAATAAATTAAAGCTAAGATTCCATAATCCTTAAAGTCGAGACATTATGACATTCGTATCCCCAACGACTACACTATATAAAAAAAAAAATTTAAGGGTGATTAAGACTAATCATCTCAAAACACGATTAGACTTATATACCTCTAACAATTAAGAACAAAAAATTTCGAAATCGAGGGTGTTTAGGACATTAGTATAGAGATCAACACACGATTAGACTTATATACCCCTAATTACGAAGAAGATGAAATTTCGAGAAGAACAATTCATTAAGGGTGTTTAGGACAAATCATTCCAACTTTTAACCACAGGCCGACACGTCAGCAAAAACACTTCTCAAATATTGTTATTATAGATGACAATATTTCATATCTTCTTGTGTATATCTTTAGAGAATATCTTCTAGAATTCTTATTTGTAACCTATAAATATAGGACTCATCATTCATGAATAATATACAACTTTACTAAACATACATGGTATAAGAGCAATCGATCTAAAAAAAAAAAAAAAACTCTAAATTTTTTTCTCTTTTCTTCTTCATCAGCCGCTGCCGCCAGACCTAGTGTATCCTCCATACCGGTTCTTCTTCTTCTTAGGTCATCATCATGAGTGAAGAAATCTCGTCTGCATCATCAACGTCCCATGGAGTACCTATCTTTGATATTGATAGTGCAACGTCCCATGGAGTACCTATCTTTGATATTGATAGTGCATCTCCGACTCTCATTTCAATCAACATGTCAAACATCACAAAGTTGACATCAATCAACTACCTCACATGGCGTCGCCAAATCAAAGCCCTCTTAGAAGGTCATTATTAAAATATGGGCTTCCAACTCAAAACCAATTAGCAATGAGTGGAGTGGCCCATATATCTTATATACTAGTCAAGATCCCTTGTCCTTTCCAATGTGGGATAATATTATCTCTAATACGCCTCCTCGAGATGATGGCTCTAGCCATTGATCTCGGTATGCTTGGGCATGGATCGGCGGGCAAACTATTGGGCCAGGCCGATCGTGGATTGGATTAGACATGTATGGATCGGGCTCTGATACCATATTAGAATATGAGCTTCCAACTCAAAACCAATTGGCTATAAGTGGAGTGGCCCATATATCTTATATACTAGTCAAGATCCCTTGTCCTTTTCAATGTGGGATAATATTATCCCTAATAGTCATGAGCTGCAGGGTTTCATTAGTGAAACCAATCAGACTCCACCCACTCACATCACCACAGGGACCGTCACAATTGTGAACTTTAAGTTTACTTCCTGGACATGGCAGGATCACCTTCTCTAAAGTGCTATCATAGGCACACTCTCTTTTCAAGTACAATCGATGGTGTCCCGTACTACTACCACTCAAGATTTGGACTACCGTAGCCAAGACATATGGCAATTCATCCCGGGGACACATCAACCAAATTCGACAACAACTCCAATGTGTTTCTAAAGGGAATCAGTCGGTCCAAGACTACATGAAGAGTATTGTAACCAAAGAGTATTGTAACCAAAGCAGATCAGTTAGCGCTCTTTGATTCACCACTGCCACACGAAGACTTACTAGATCACATCAAGAGAGGCCTAGATGAAGACTATCGCCCGGTCGTGGAACTCGTCAATGGCAGAGACACAGCAATCTCTATTGAAGAGTTACATGAGAAACTCCTAAACAGAGAAAACAATCTTCTCTATTCAGCTGCAACAACAACGACACCACCGGCTTCTGCAAACGTGGCACAACAAAAGTTCAACAACAACAACAACTACTACTCTAAGCCACCACAGAACCAATACAACAACAACAACTATGGCAGAGGACGAGGCGCTGGACGTGGCTCACAAAGTCGGGGATACCAAGGAAAATATCAAATTTGTGGCATCCATGGTCACAGTGCCCGCACCTGTCGTCAACTCAACTCGCCACAATGGTCTCAATTATCGTTGTACTATCCGTCTCCGCCATCAAAAAACACGTGGGCTCCGTCACCACCAATGCCACCTCAACATTGGCAACCGAGAGCTCACTATACCGCTTCCACTAACTACTCCCAAGCCCCTTGGCGATTGGATAGTGGAGTTTCCGAAATCATTTATATTCTGAAATCCTACACCACCTTCCGATTTACGGCTACATAGCTTGTTCCAAGCCATCCACTTTGTATAAATAAAAATTTAAATATCTCATGTACCACCTCGGCGTGAATTACGGTGCATGTCACGATAAATAATTGCATGATTAACTGAAAGGTATAACATAAAAAATGAGAAATATGTAACTATTTCTAACAAATACGTGCTTTGTATTGATTATGTTAATTTGACAGGTCCATTGACTCTGCTAATTTTTTAGGTCTATTAAATTTGTTAATTTGCCTTTTTTTTTATCCTAGTAATTTGGTAGAAGCTTTGATCTGCTAATTTTGGAAGGTTCATCGATAATTGACTCCGCTAATTTAATATTTTCAATACTCTTATAAATTAGCGTATGCATTACAATGTTAATCCAAAAAAAAACCACTTATATATATATATATATATCATATTTCATGGATTCACTAGCTCGGATTATATAGCCTCTTCTTTTTTTACAACCGTCAATTTTGTCTGATTTTAAAAATTTTATTGGTTCCAAAATCTATATATATAAAATTGTAAAACTCATTAATTAAGAAATATTTTACCATTTCCAACTAATACCGTAATACGTGCTTTGTAGAACACAAGTCCATTAATTATGTAAATTTGACATATATGTGCCAAGTCTATTGGCTCTTTGCTAATTTTGTATGTTCATTAACTTTGTAGAAGCTTTCATCTGCTAATTTCGTAGCTTCTTTGTTTGTTGTGTACACGTACAAACACTGGTCCGACATATAGTCAGCCCAAACCCACACTCTGTGCAGTCCATCTTACAACCCACAAAACAATTATGATTTATGAGGTTAAGTTTGTTGAGATAACCCCACCAATTCCTTTCATGAGAAGATTTTATGAGAAAGTATGATCTTTTTAAAAGTTGTGACAATAATGCAAATATTTCCAAACTCACCATTTTCTTCTTATGGATCATGCATTCATTTCACTCATACCAATGTTACAAGTAACAAACGCAAGAGAGAAAACAAAAATCCTTATTTCTTACCCAAATATCATCAAAAGACAAGACAGAGCTTTATGCGTTTTAACCAAGTCTACAAGTACGACAACCATCAGATGTCCCTACGCTGTTTGGGTCATTCTCTTCGGCCGGTTCCTTAGAGACCTCTTGACTATCTCGGTTACCTTCTTGGCCATCATCGATGTGACTTATTGCTTCGGTTGTTGACTGGGAATCTGGTTGAGCCGAAGCTTCTCCTCCATTAAAGTTTTCTATGGGAGAGACTATCTCTGGGGTTTGCTGGGACAGGTCTAGGGACGGTTTGGGGATAAGAGAGAGACGACAAAGAGGGCACGTTGTGTGTGATGTGAGCCAACGATCAATACACTCCATGTGAAAAGTGTGCCCACATGCTGGCATTTGTTGGAGTTTCTCTTCTGCTTGGTAGTCCGCAAGACAAACTGAACATCTGTTTTCAAGTTTAAGTCAAAACCAGGTGATTCTTTATCATACTTTCTTATGTTTTAGCTATTCAAAGAAAGAAAAAAACAAACATACACAAAAGATTCTAACAAATCACAAACTCATAGAGAACTATTTCAAACAACTCAATATACAAACTGAAATTGCACCATTGAATTTGTCGGGCTTTAAATATGCTTCCACTCGAATGAAATAGCGATTTTACTTATGTCCAATCCGAATAAAATGATGACATTTTTCTCAGCCTAAGGTAACGGTTTCAATGCAATTATGTTCACTACACAATTATCCACTTATCAATTACAAGTACTCACAAGACAAATTAATTACGCAACATAGCTTTGAACTTGTCTATCACACAAAGGTTATTTTGATGAGATAAGCCTTAAAAAAGGGATCGTGAATCCACAAAAGATAAAATCTTTATGAATATGAGAACTCACTGTGAATCTTTGACTGTGAAACTCTCCTTGTAGATAACAACGGGAAGCATCTCTCTTATGTCTTTGCTCAGTCCTAATTCAACCTGTTCATATATATGAGTCAGCAAATCATTAAAGAACCAAACATATCTTCAAAGACCACAAAATCTTTCATAAATTGTGTAATACCGTTGAGAGATTAAAGTTGATGGGGAAGGCACCAGGAGGCATTCCAAGAGAAGACCTATCAACGTTGGTACATTTTCGACGAATGATGTAAAGAAGTATGAGGACGATGAATGTGAAACAGATAGCAGACAAGATAAGAGCTTGGTAAAGTTTCAGTTTCTCGGATTCAGTTGAGTTCGATGGAGCGTAAGTTTTTGGGTTTGGGTCTATGGTAGACATCGTCACCACTATTGTAATAATTGACAACTACACACAAACTCAAACTCAATATATATTCCACACCTAAGCTATCAATTTATGTCACAACAAATGATATATAGAATTAATTTATCAAATAGGAAAGCAACAAAATCTAAGATATGGCTTTAAAAGTAAAGAAATCTTTTCTTAATATGCGTAATTAAAAGTTGCAAATAAAATCAAATAATGGTAATAATATGGATAATTTTTATTTTTTTGACAGCAGAATAAATAATAATATGGATAATTAAGTGACAACTAATGGGAGTTTTTAAAAAACAAGGTCAACATGTTTTGAAACCGTTAGGTTGTTGAAACTGAGTCATAGTCACTAAATTCACCAGTCACACGGTTTTTGTTTTGCAAATGACTGCTGGAAACAATGGACATATGTTCGTTGTTTTGTTTTTACTTCATTTACCTTTTCCTAATACTAATATTTTATATTTGTATGCCTTTATATGATTTAAATTGTTTAATTTTATAGTCAAAGGTATTTAATGATTTAGCTGGAGCTAGCTAAAATGCTTGAAAGAAATAATATATTCTTAAGAACTTTGTTTTTCCCTCCTAATATAAAAATATTACTATAATATATATAATAGTTTCTCCTTTTGTAATATATTTTTCTATTTATAAAAAAATTCAATGTTTAAATATTTCTAAATTTCAAAACTCTCTTTTATGTTTCTTGTTTTAACAACATGAATTATTGACCTTACGAAATATAGTGGTAACAATTCGATAATACTTTTATGTTGTAAATAATTTAATCTAATAATTAAACTTAATAAGTAGAGTTTATTAGCATCAGTGCCATGAACAGTGACAAAACTTATACAAAGCGTCATGTTCGTTATAATCTTTGCTCCTATGCCATAAGGTCCACGTAAGAAAACTATAATACCCTGGCCGAAGATTGCTCATATTTATCCTTTAAAGTCAAAAAATATGTTTTTGTTCTCTGTCACGTCATATCATTATAACAGTTCCCGGTGATTGTAATCCTCTTGATCGTCTCCGGCAATATCGAAGTCGCAAGATCCAGTCTTCTCCATTATTCATCAAGATCTAGATCTTGTTCCTACTTATTTATCCTCCGATTTAGTCATTTGATTTTCTAAAAATCATTGTTTATCTTTTTCGATTCTCGTTGTCCTCAGTTTTTGTTTTTCTTTCTTCAGAAATTATTATCGAAAGATGCGTTTAAGTCCATGTCTATGACTAAATCTTGTTTTAAAATTATTTTTACTTTACTAGTTTTAGGGAAAAACTTGTCCCTGAGTGTAATAAAATTTGTCCCTTAATGTAACAAAAATTGTCCCCGAGTGCAATTAATGCAGCTGTCCTTTTATCTGACACATCAGTCCGTCGCCATCAAGGGTAAACTCGTCCACAAATTATCACATAGCAAAAAAAGTGGTAGAAACAAAAAACCTTTTCCAATTGTGGTAGATTTTGAAGGGAATCGTCAGAAAGTGGTACATCTCGCAAGATTCCCTAATAAGTATTTTATTGGATATCAAATGTTGTCAGAAAAATTAACAAAATCTAATACAAAACAGAGTTGTTCAATGAAGCGACAACGCTGTCGTTATCCAAAATATATCATAAAATGAAAATTATTAGTTTTCAGTTAATGTGATCGATGTCGATCAGTCTTTCTTTTTACATGTTCTTATTCACTTTTAATAAATAATATTTAAACAACTCAAGTATAACGTCCGACCGTGAATTTCGGCGTAGATCACGATAAATAACTACGCTATTAAGTGCAAAAGTACATTACTAGTTGAAAAATAATTTACCATTTCCAACAAGCACGTGCATTATGGAGTCTAATTCTAATGTTATGTTAATTTGTCATATACGTGTCACGTCCATTGATTAAATTGCTAATTCTGTATAACAATTAATTGTGTTAATTTGTCAAGTTTGTTGATCTTTAAGTAGTAATTTTGTAGAAGTTTTTTATGCGTAAAGCGGTAAACGTAAATGAGTGAATGAAATAAAAACTCTAATATGAAAATTTTGAGACCAAAATATTGGATTTTTGGATTTTCTAATTTTGAAAAAACAATTATAGTTATTAGATATATAGGAAGATATGAGACCACAATTGTAAAGGCTAAGCCAATCGAAACCACCAAAAAAACTTAGAAAATATTATCACTATCAAGTGATAAAAATGTTTGACTCAATTACCAGTGACTCCTCCTCCTCCACAACAACTCTTCCGTCCGGGCACAAAATTTCTTTGATGCCATTATGAGCTTCTCGAGTTTCAGCCGCTCGATGGAACGTCTTATTGTTCCTATCTCCCACATCTAACCAATGGAGTTTTGATTTCTGCTTAAGAAATTTCTCTTCTAGACCCGCAATATGATCCCAACGGAAGTAAGCTTCATTCTCCTTTGCCATCAACTGTGGAGATGGAGTGGTTGAGTTGGCTTGTTGCTTTTGACAAAGGGTGTCATACGCTTCTTTTGTTCTCTTGACTAGGTTTCCCAATCTGTCCTGTGCTAAACAACGCAGCTTAGGCTTTAGAGCTTTTAACTTTTTCGAGAATCGGAACATCGTGGACGTTGATAAAAACAGATTCTCTGTTTCCTTCCAATAGTTATCAACAAGAGGTAAAAACTCCTCCATTTCCGTAAGTACATTGACGAACTTAAATGGTTTGCGTCACTTTGTTGTGTTTTGAACTCCTCCAATATGCATGATTCGACATCTTAAATCATCAGAGATACCCCCAGCCTCAAAAACTGAATACACTTGCGGGAAAAACTGCAGCCACACATCATTCGTCATTACACGATCCAGTTTTTTTGAGATCAAGTCGTTTTCCCTTTTGTTACACCAGGTGTACAAGGGTCCTTGTGATGCCATATCAGACAGCGAACAGTAATTGACCAAATCCTGAAAATCTCTCATCCCCACTGTAACCTGCGGATGATCATCTACCCTTGAGTGCTCAGCCATGTCTAGTGTGACATTAAAGTCCCCAAAAATCAACCACGGTTTATTCCGAAAAATAGGAGAATCATAGTGATCCATTAGCTCTTTCCATAACTCTTTCCTTTCCTCCACATCATTTGATGCATACACAAAAGTACAGAAGAATTCCTCCTCTAGCTCTTCTAACTTCACCGAGCAAGTTATGAGTTGAGCACTCTTGATAAAAGGGCTTAATCTCACATTGTTCTGCCAAATAACCCATATACGACCTCTTGGATTATACTCATAATTTGTCATGATAGACCATCCATTGAATAATTGCCTCATTAGCTTTAAAGCCTTTGTTTCTCTAACTCTTGTTTCGAGAAAACAACCAAACTGAAACCGATTCTCCAATACCCAGTTTCTTATTACGGAATGCTTTGATGATTTATTTAGACCGCGAACATTCCAAAAAAAACCCGATATAAAATTTTTTTGGAGTTTATCTTCTTACTCTGATCTCTAGAGGGATCTCTAGTCGAAAGAGCAGGGAGATGTGCAGGGCCGGCCCATGGCTAAAGCCCATGAAGCAAGGGCTTTAGGCATCAAATAATTATAAGTAGATTTAAGGGCATCAATTTTTAAAATGTTATTGTGGTCTAGTGGTTAGTTTGAAGTCTTTTGTTGTACAGGTCACGGTTTCGAATCCCAAACATGTTAAAATTTGTATTTTTTTTTTATAACAGTTTTTTTTAATGGGCCAAATTTTTTTTTGCTTTAGGCACTCAAATAGTTTGGGCCGGCCCTGGAATCACATCAGAACAACGTCTACCACAGTCTCTTGGCACAAAGGAGTTTGATTCACTTATGACACTCCTAAGTACTCGTTTTGTGTATGGCTAGCAGTTCATGATAGGCTTTCTACGGGAGACCGTATGCAACGTTGGAACGGAGGCGGATCGGGACTTTGTGTTTTCTGTAACAAGTGCGTGGAAACAAGAGATCACCTATTTTTTTCTTGTGACTACACGCAGGAAATATGGGCTACCCTTGCAAAAGGGATCTTTAAAGCTAAATACACAACAGGTTGGGCTCAAATCATTGAACACATCTCAAATTCAAGGCAAGATCAAGTGGAGAGCTTTCTCATGAGGTATCTCTTTCAAACTACCGTCTATATGATTTGGAAGGAGAGGAATGGTCGAAGACATGATGAGCAGCCTCATTCGGGGACCCTCATAGCGGGATGGATAGAAAAGCAAATCAGAGACCAGATTTCTATGATTCGAAGAAAAGGAGATAGACGATACGAAGCGGCGTATCAAAGATGGCTACAAGCTCAGAACTGAACTCTAAAGCTCTCTAATTTTCTTTCAAAATTTTTTCAAACTTACGATGCATTTTGTTGTAACAACGTATTTTTTCTTTTGAATATAATTTAACATTAGATTCAAAAAAAAAAATTACCAGTGACTCTCTCAAAACCAAATAATAAAAGAGATGATCTAAGCATATCCAAAGGATCACAAAGACTTCCAAATTTCAAACTCGTTCTCTAACTTTACTCAATGAAAATGAGCCTCTATATAAGAGAACATATAAATCAAGTTATAATCAAAGTTAGCCTGCATGATTAAGACTTAGGGAATACTAAAAAGAGACTTCAACATGCATGAATGAAAGATACATTAACCAAAATATATAAATGTAGCTTTCTTTAGTGACGAATATGTCTCTTCAAATGACTTTGGACTCGAACAAGCAGCCAAGATATTTCAGCCTAAGACATCCAGCCCATGAGATTGTAACCCTTGTATTAAGAGAGTATTTCGTCCATAAAATGACATGGTCAAAGCCAGCCTGTTACACTTCTCCATTTTTGTGCCGTTTCTTTTGCTTGCAACTCTACTCCCACATGAGTCCCTTTGAGTTTAAAAGAACTTTTCCTCAAATCTAGCAACTCTTCATTCTCAGGATTTGGAGAAAGCTCTCCTATATTGAAACTAGTTTTTTTTTTTTTGGATAAACTATATTGAAACTAGTTAAACTTCATAATCTCCATATATAATCTTCATTCTCAGGATTGTATGCATTTTCACCAAATTTCTCAAATATTTTGTATAGATCTTATATGCCTTTGGTATAAGCTACAACTTGCATTTTCTAATAAATTGAAATTTCTCTTTCTTTAAGTGTAACCGAATACTTGGCTCATAAAAATTAGACCCCTAGTTCTTGTTGGCTTTCCTTTTCTATTTCTCATTCACATTTTCAATCTCTGTCCAAACATTCTCATATTTTTCCATTTTCTTAATCTGTTCCATTGCTTCATAATTTGTTGGGAACTCACAATGTAACGTTATCAAATCATGCGAGTAAGAAAACTCATACTATATCAAATTTTTGTTATTTCAGAAAATAATTAACAAAATCCAAAGCAAAACAAACCAATTTGATATGGCGGCAGAGTTGCCGGTACCCACAATCAATTTTAAAATGAGAAATATCAGTTTCAAGTTAACGTGTTTGATGTCCCATTTTTTTCCGAAGCTAACACATCATTTATAAATAGTAATTCAAACATCTCAAATGTAACGCTTGAAGTTCAGCATAGATCACGATAAATAATCGCGTTATTAATAAAAATATAACATTATTAATTGAAAATTATTTTATTTTCCAATGAACACGTGCTTTGTGGAGCGCGAATTTTTTGATTATGTTAATTTGAAATATCCGTATTACATTAACTCTTCTAATTGTGTTGAAGCTTTAATCTGCTAATTTTAGAAGGTTTGTTAATTGTTGACTCTGCTAATTTGATATGCTCATTTACTCTTACAAATGAGTATAGACATTACTTTGTGAATCTAAAAAACCACTAACTTTTGTTTGATTTTAGTTACTTTTATTATTATTTTAAATTGTAAATTGTTCAGATAAGATTATTTAGATCTTTCGCAAAGTTGAATTTGTTTATTATGGACAAACGTTGTTTGCAAAGAAATAACTAATGAACATATTGTAGGGTATTCAACTAGGAATCCGACCAAGCCTTGCCTCTATAGATATGTTAAATGATGAACGTTTTGTAGGTGATTCAACAACTTGGAGTCCGACCAAGCTTTGCCTCTATAAATATGTTCAATGTAGCATCCCCTCTTTCAAACGTTTTCATGTCACATTTAGAAGGTAAAAATATTTTGGAGAAGACAAAAATGGGTTTGTCTTGACGTTCAAGACATATTGATGTCAACGTGACTAGAAAAAGTTGTTTTATGGGAGGGAGAGTGGGGTTAAGTTATGAGCCTTGGTCAAAGCAATCTAAGGCCCAATATGATCGATGTTTGTTGAAAGCTAGAGGAGAGAGGGAAATTGTCTCCCTAATAAGAGTTGAAACTCCTCGAAACACGATGATGTTCATGGAGAAGTGGAAAGGAGGAATGGGAGATGAAAAGTTGGATGATCCGCGAACTGTTCTCCTCCTCATGAGTGATCTTTTGTGGTGTATTTCTGGGTCAGAGATAGCAAGTTAGGTTTTCTCTTAACTAGAGCCGGTGCAACAGATATGTGGGCCACAAGCAACAAATTTTTTTGGGCCTATAAAACAGATGATCTAAAAGAAAATAGTAAAAAGTTTAAAGAGCAAAAGAAAGATTCGAACCTTGCACCTATATTAGTCACTAAACTGAACATAACCAACTGAGCGAAAAGATTTTTTGTCGTAAGTGGAAGCTAAAATTTTAGATATTTTTTAGAGGGCCGCAAGCAGATGCTTTCATCTACATGTCCCTAGGGCCGGCTCTGCTCTTAAGGTCTGAACTAGTGAAGTACCACACTCTCTGCTACTCTTTTTAGGGAATACTAAAAAGAGACTTCAACATGCATGAATGAAAGATACATTAACCAAAATATATAAATGTAGCTTTCTTTAGTGAAGAAAATGTCTCTTCAAATGACTTTGGACTCGAACAAGCAGCCAAGATATTTCAACCTAAGACATCCAGCCCATGAGATTGTAACCCTTGTATTAAGAGAGTATTTCGTCCATAAAATGACATGGTCAAAGCCAGCCTGTTACACTTCTCCATTTTTGTGCCGCTTCTTTTGCTTGCAACTCTACTCCCACATGAGTCCCTTTGAGTTTAAAAGAACTTGTCCTCAAATCTAGCAACTCTTCATTCTCAAGATTTGGAGAAAGCTCTCCTATATTGAAAATATTTAAAACTTTATAATCTCCAAAATCTCATGAAGGCTCAAGTTTGTAAGCATTTTCACTAAATTTCTCAAATATTTTGTATAGATCTTATACAAACTTCTCAAATGTAATGCCTGATCGTAAATTTCGGAGTAGATCACGATAAATAATAAGCTACAACTTGCATTTTCTAATAAATTGAAATCTCTCTTTCCTTAAGTGTAACCGAATACTTGACTCATAAAAATTAGACCCCTAGTTCTTGTTGGCTTTCCTTTTCTATTTCTCATTCACATTTTCAATCTATTTCTAAACATTTTCATGTTTTTCCATTGTCTTAATCTATTCCATTGCTTCATAATTTGTTGGGAACTCACAATGTAACTTTACCAAATCATGCTAGTAAGAAAACTCATACCATATCAAAATTTTATTATTTAAGAAAAGAACTAACAAAATCCAAAGCACAACAAAGCAATTTGATATGGCGGCAGAGTTGCCGGTACCCACAATCAATCTTAAAATGAGAAATATCAGTTTCAAGTTAACGTGTTTGATGTCCCAATTTGTTCCGAAGTTAACTCACCATCTATAAATAGTAGTAATTCAAACTTCTCAAATGTAATGCCTGAGCGTAAATTTCGGCGTAGATCACGATAAATAATTGCGCTATTAACTGAAAAATATAACATTATTAATGGAAAATTATTTTATCATTTTCCAACGAGCACATGCTTTGTGAAGCGTAAATTCACTGATTCTATTAATTTGAAATATCCGTGTTACATTAACTCTGCTAATTTTGTTGAAGCTTTCATCTGCTAATATTAAAAGGTTTGTTAATTGTTGACTCTACTAATTTGATATGTCCATTTACTCTTACAAATGAGTATAGACATTACTTTGTGAATCTGAAAAACCACTAACTTTGTTTTATTTCAGTTGCTTTTATTATTATTTTTAATTAATTGTAAATTATTCAGATCAGATTATTTAGATCTTTCGCAAAGTTGAATTTGTATATTATGGAGAGATGTTATTTGCATAGAAATAACTAATGAACATATTGTAGCTGATTCAACTAGGGATCCGACCAAGCCTTGCCTCTATAGATATGTTAAATGATGAACGTTTTGTAGGTGATTTCACCATTTGGGGTCCAACCAAACTTGCCTCTAGAAATATGTATAATGTAGCATGCTCTTTCAAACGTTTTTATGTCACAATTAGATGTAAAAATATCTTTGAAAAGACAAAAATGAGTTTGTCTTGACGTTCAAGACATATTAATGTCAACGTGACTAGAAAAAGTCGTTTTATGGGAGGGGGAGTGAGGTTAAGTTAATGAGCCTTGGCCATGGCAACTGAGGCCCAATATGATGTTTGTTTAAGGAGAGAAAGATATGCGAGTTGAAACGCTTCGAAATGTGATGATGTTCATGGAAATTGGAAAGGAGGAACGAGGGAGGAAAAGTTGGATTATCCGCGAACTGTTCTCCTCCTCATAAGTGATGTTTTGTGGTGTGTTTATGGGTCAGAGATAGCAAGTTAGGGTTTCTCGTAAGGTCCGAACTGGTGAAGTACCACACTCTCTACTTTTCTTTTCGAGAGTGCAAAGATTTATGTATAAGTATTTTTTGACCTAGGTAAGAATTTGAGTTAATGCAACTAGTTCGAGTATTCAAAGCTGTTTTTTGGTAAAAAAAATATTGGTATCTATAATTAATGTTTAAAAGAAAAATATTAGTTCTAGGTTAATGTACAACGTCCCAATTTTTTCTCTCTAATTCAACCTCTATAAATAAAATTTCAGTTATTTCAAATATAACGTCTGAGCGTTAAATATATCGCAGATCACGATAAACAATCGCGCTACTAACTATAAAGTATCACATCATTAATTGAGAAATATTTAACTATATCCAACAAACACGTGCTTTGTATGGATTATGTTAATTTAACGTGTTAGGTCTTTTCTGCTAATTTTTAGCTAGGTCTATTAAGTTTTTAATTTGCTATTTTTTTATCCTGGTAAATTGGTAGAAGCTTTCATCTACTAGGTTTAAAATATCCATTACTGACTCTGCTAATTTAATATTTTCATTTACTCTTATAAATTAGCATATGCATTTGTTTATGAATCCAAAAAACCACTAATATATCATATTTCATAGATTAACTAGCTCCTATTTTTTTTCTTTACAACAGTCACTTTTGTCTAATTTTAGTTGGTCCCAAAAGTTTTATATATTGAATTATAAACTCAAAAATAAAGATATATATAATCATTGATTAAGAAATATTTTATCCCTTCCAACGAATAAGTGCTTTGTAGAATGCAAGTCCATTGATTATGTAAATTTGATATATATATATATATATATATATATGTCTAAGTCTATTGAATTTTGCTAATTCTGTAGGTTCATTAACTTTGTCAATTTGCCAGGTTCGTTGACCCTGGTAATTTTGTAGCTTCTTTTACGCACACAAACATCTGGTTGACATAATAGTCAGCCCAAACAAACACTCTGAGCAGCCCATTTTTGTTTTATGAGGTTAAGTTTGTTGAGAAGATCAAAAAATTTTAAAGTTGTGACAGTAGTGCAAATGTTTCCGAACTTACCATTTTCTTCTTATGGATCATGCATTCAATTCACTCCTAACAATGTTACAAGTAACAAGCGCAAGAGAGAAAACAAAAATCCTTATTTCTTACCAAAATATCATCAAGAGACAAGACAAAGCTTTTATGCTTTTTAACCAAGTCTACAAGTACAACAACCATCAGATGTCCCTACGCTGTTTCCGTCATTCTCTTCTATTTCCTTAGACACATCTTGACTATCTCCGTTACCTTCTTGGCCCTCCTCGATGTGACTTATTGCTTCGGTTGCTGAGTGGGACTCTGGTAGAGCAGAAGCTCCTCCTCCGTTAGAGTTCTCTATGGTCTCTTGGCTTTGATGGGACCCGTCTAGGGTCGGTTTGGGGATAAGAATAAAACTACATACACATAAGTAGTTTTGTCAGGTTTCTGTTGGAGCTAATACCCATACTATGAGGCCAATAATTTATCTAAGAATAAAAGATTCTTCCAAATCACAAACTCATAAAGAACTATTTTAAACAACTCAATATACAAACCAAAATTGCACCATTGAATTTTTTTGGGGCTTTACATATGCCTCCACTCGAAAATGAGATCGCAATTTCGCTTATGTCCAATCCGAACAAAATAATGAAAATTTGTCTCAGCCTAAGGTAACAGTTTCAATGAAATTATATACACAAGACAATTATCCACTTATCAATCACAAGTAATAATCAATTTTTGGAGAGAACAAGTTTATTTTATGAGATAAGCCTTAAAAAAAGATCTGACTCAAAATCGTGAATCCACAAAGGATAAAATCTTTATGAATATGAGAGAACTCACTGTGAATCTTTGACTGTGAAACTCTCCTTGTAGATGACAATGGGAAGCATCTCTCTTACATCTTTGCTCAGTCCTAATTCAGCCTGTTCATATATAAGACTTGAGTCAGCAAATCATTAAAGAACCAAACATATCAAATGTTTCAAAGACCACAAAATCTTTTACATATTTGAGTTACCATTGAGAGATAGTTGTTTCGATGCATTAAAAAAGAAGACCAATCAACGTTGGTGTTGCTGTTTCGACGAATGATATAAAGAACGAGGACGACGATTAATATGAAACAGATTGGAACAGAGACGAGAAACGTAAGTTTCAATAACTGGGATTCAGTTGAGTTCGATGGAACGTTAGTTTTTGGGTTGATGGAAGACATGGTCACCACTGTTGTATCTGGGACAAGACTTATTTCACTTTCGGTCTTTCTTGTGACTTGTCTGAAAAAATAAATAGAGAATCTCTCAAGATATAGAAGATGAAAGAGAGAGGTAGGGAAAGTTTAAGGTGTTATTTGGTAAAAGCTATCAATTTATGTCACTATATAGAATTAATTTATCAAATAGGAAAGCAACAAAATCTAAGATATGGCTTTAAAAGTAAAGAAATCTTTTTCTTAATATGCGTAATTAAAGGTTGCCAATAAAATCAAATAATTATAAGAATATGGATAATTAAGTGACAACTAATGGGAGTTTTTTGAAAAACAAGGTCAGCATGTTTTGAAACCGTTAAGGTTGTTGAAACTGAGTATAGTCACTAAACTCACCAGTCACACGGTTTTTGTTTTGCAAATGACTGCTGGAAGCAATGGACATATGACTAATTTGTTTTGTTTTTAGTACTTCATTTGCCTTTCTCTAATACTAATATTTTATATTTCTTTGCCTTTATATGATTTAAATTGTTTAATTTTCTAGTCAAGGGAATTTAATGATTTTTCTGGAACTAGCTAAAATGTTTGAAAGAAATAATATATTCTAAAGAACTTTGTTTTTCCCTCCTAATATAAAAAATATTACTATAATATAGTTTCTTCTCTTGAAATATATTTTACTATTTATATAAAATATCAAAGTTTTAAATATTTTAAAAATTTTATAACTTTTTTATGTTTTTTTTTATGCTTATGGAGAGAACACAACAGCAAGCGGCATGGTGAGACTACTATCCCAGCTTCGAAACTTGCAAAAATCATCGATAAAAATGTTCGAAACAGATTTAGCACTATCCAACAGTTGGGAGAACTCAAAAGTGGTTGGCGGCCTGCAGTTTTGGTTCTATACCCGCAGTTCAAACTCTATCTAATTATGTTTAAATTCTTTTCCAATCTCTTCAAATAGAAAAAGCATTTAGTGTAAAAAAATATTTTTTTGTTGAATAAATTTTACATTCATACAAAAAAAAAAACAACATGAATTATTGGCCTTAAGAAATCTAGTAGTAACGATTCGATAATACTCATAGAAATCATTTGATTTTATGTTGTAAATAATTTAATCTAATAATTAAAGTTAATAAGTATTTTATTGGATATCAAAAGTTGTCGAAAACATTAACAAAATCTAGTACAAAACAGAGTTATTCAATGAAGGGACAACGCTGTCGTTATCCAAAATATTTCATAAAATGAATTTACTAGTTTTCAGTTGATGTGATCGATGTCTCAATCTTTCTTTTTTCATGTTTACTCACTTTTTGTAAATAATAATTTAAACAACTCAAGTATAACGTCCGACCATGAATTTTGGCGTAGATCACGATAAATAACACGCTATTAATTGCAAAAGTACATTACTAATTGAAAAATAATTTACCATTTCCAACGAGCACGTGCATTATGAAGTCTAATTCTAATGGTATGTTAATTTGTCATATACGTGTCACTTCCATTGATTAAATTGCTAATTCTGTATAACATATAATTGTGTTAATTTTTCAAGTTCGTTGACATTAAATTAGTAATTATGTAGAAGTTTTCTTATGCGTAAAGCAGTAAACGTTAATGAGTGAATGAAATAGAAACTGTAACATGAAAATTTTGGAGACCAAATTAATGGATTTTGGATTTTCTAATTTGAAACAATCATAAGTTATTAGATATATATATAGGAAGATATGAGGCCACTATGTTAAAGGCTAAGCCAATCGAAACCACCAAAAAACTTAGAAAATATTATCACTATCAAGTGATAAACATGTTTAACTCGTTCTAAAATTACCAATGACCAAATAATAAATGAGATGATCTAAGCATATCCAAAGGATGACAAAGATTTCCAAATTTCAAACTCGTTCTCTACCTTTACTCGTTAGAAATGAGCATTTTTTTTTTTTTTTTTGAACACCGCAAATGAGCATCTATCTAAGAGAAAATACAAATCAATTTATAATAAAATTTAACCTGCATGATTAACACTTGGGAATACTAAAAACAGACTTCAACATGCATGAATGAAAGATACTCTTAGCAAAAATTGAATGAAAGATATATTAGCCAAAACATATGTAGCTTTCTTTAGTGATGAAAATGTCTCTTCCAATGACTTTGGGGTCGAACAAACAGCCAAGATATTTCAGCCCATGAGATTGTAACCCTTGTATTAAGAGAGTATTTCGTCCATAAAATGACATGGTCAAAGCCAGCCTGTTACACTTCTCCATTGTTGTGCCGCTTCTTTTGCTTGCAACTCTACTCCCACATTAGTCCCTTTGAGTTTAAAAGAACTTGTCCTCAAATCCAGAAACTCTTCATTCTGAAGATTTGGAGAAAGCTCTCCTATATTGATAGTAGTTAAAACTTCATAATATCACGAAAGCTCAAGTTTGTAAGTATTTTCACCAAATTTCTCAAATATTTTGTGTAGATCTTATATTCCTTTGCTATAAGCTACAACTTGTATTTTCTAATAAATTGAAATGTCTCTTTCCTTAAGTGTAACCGAATACTTGACTCATAAAAATTAGACCCCTAGTTCTTGTTGGCTTCCCTTTTCTATTTCTCATTCACATTTTCAATTTCTTTCCAAACATTTTCATGTTTTTCCATTGTCTTAATCTATTCCATTGCTTCATAATTTGTTGGGAACTCATCACAATGTAACTTTATCAAATCATGCTAGTAAGAAAACTCATACCATATTAAATTTCTATTATTTCAGAAAAGAATTAACAAAATCCAAAGCAAAACAAAGCAATTTGATATGGCGGCAGAATTGCCGGCACCCACAATCAATCTTAAAATGAGAAATATCAGTTTCAAGTTAACTCACCAATTTTTTGATGTCCCAATTTTTTCCGTAGCTAACTCACCATTTATAAATACTAATTCAAACATCTCAAATGTAACGGTTGAGCGTAAATTTTGGCGTAGATCATGATTAATAATTGGGCTATTAATTGAAAAATATAACATTATTATTGAAAAATTATTTTATCATTTTCAAACGAGCACATGTTTTGTGGAGCGCAAATTCACTGATTATATTAATTTGGAATATCCGTGTTACATTAACTCATCTACTTATTTTGTTGAAGCTTTCATCTGCTAATTTTATAAGGTTTGTTTATGGTTGACTCTGCTAATTTGATATGTTCATTTACTCTTACAAATGAGTATAGACATTACTTTGTGAATCTGAAAACCACTAACATTTGTTTGATTTAAGTTGCTTTATTATTATTTTTAATTGTAAATTGTTCAGATCAGATTATTTAGATCTTTCGAAAGTTGAATTTGTTTATTGTGGAGAAACGTTGTTTGCACAGAAATAACTAATGAACATATTGTAGGTGATTCAATTAGGGATCCGACCAAGCCTTGCCTCTATAGATATGTTAAATGATGAACGTTTTGTAGGTGATTCAACCACTTGGGGTCCAACCAAGCCTTGCCTCTATAATTATGTTCAATGTTGCATCCACTCTTTCAAACGTTTTCACAATTAGATGGTAAAAATATGATGTTTGTTAAAGGCTAGAGGAAAGAAGGTAATTGTCTCCCTAATAAGAGTTGAAACTCTTTGAAACGCGATGATGTTCATGGAGAATTGGAAAGCAGGAATGAGAGAGAAAAAGTTGGATGATCCGAGAACTGTTATCTTCCTCATAATTGATGTTTTGTTGTGTTTTTATGGGTAAGAGATAGCAAGTTAGGTTCTCTCTTAAGGTCCGAACTGGTGAAGTACCACACTCTCTATTTCTCCTTTTTAGAATGCAAATATTATTTATAAGTGTTTCTTGATCTAGGTAAAAATTTGAGTTAATGCAACTAGTTCGAGTATTCTTAACTGTTTTTCGGTAAAAACGATCTGTATCCATAATTAATGTTAAAAAGAAAAAATTAGTTCTAGGTTAATGTACGACGTCTAATTTTTTCTTTGTTTGATTCACCATGTATAAATAAAAATTTAATTATCTCAAATGTAACGTCTGAGCGTTAATTATGGCGTAGATCACGATAAAAAAAAGTGCTATTAACTGAAAGATATCACATCATTAATTGAGAAATATTTAACTATTTCCAACAAACACGTGCTTTGTATTGAGTATGTTAATTTAACATATACATGTCAGGTCTTTTTTGCTAATTTTTTAGGTCTATTAAGTTTGTTAATTTGCTATCGTGATAATTTGGTAGAAGCTTTCATCTGCTAATTTTAAAATATTCATTAATAATTGACACTACTAATTTAATATTTTCATTTACTCTTATAAATTAGCATATGCATTAATTTAATATTTATCCTTTCCAACGAATAGTGCTTCGTAAAACGCAAATCCATTGATTATGTAAATTTGACATATAGTATGTGTCTAGTCTATTGAATCTTACTAATAAGATATATCATAAATACTTTACCATTTCCAACTAACATGTGTTTTGTAGAACGCAAGTCCACTGATTATGTAAATTTGACATACTGTACATGTGTCAAAGTGTATTGACTCTTGCTAATTTTGTAGGTTCATTAACTTAGTTAATTTGCCACATTCGTTGACCCTGGTAATTTTGTAGAAGCTTTCATCTGCTAATTTTGTGGCTTCTTTTACACGTACAAACATCTGGTCTGACATATAGTCAGCCCAAACCAACACTCTGAGCAGTCCATCTTACAGCCCATAAAACAATTATGAGGATCAATTTGTTGAGAAGATAACTTTTTTTAAAGTTGTGACAGTAATGCAAATGTTTCCGAACTTACCATTTTCTTCTTATGAATCATGCATTCATTTCACTCCAAACAAACGCAAGAGAGAAAACAAAAATTCTTAAATCTTACCAAAATGATCATCAAAAGACAAGACAAAGCTTTTATGCCTTTTAACCAAGTCTACAAGTACAACAACCATCAGAAGTCCCTACGCTGTTTCGGTCATTCTCTTCCGGTTCCTTAAAGACTTCTTGACTATCTCCGTTACCTTCTTGGATATCCTCGATGTGACTTACTGCTTCGGTTGTTGATTGGGAATCTGGTAATTGAGCCGAAGCTCCTCCTCCATTAGAGTTTTCTATGGGAGGGACTATCTCTGGACTTTGATGGGACCCGTCTAGGGTCGGTTTGGGGATAAGA